TATATATATATATATTTTCTGTTACCCGCGCTCGTTTATTTTCTTCGCTGTATTATTGTAAGTCGCGTCCGTTAATTATATATTCCTATATGTTATTTGTCTCTTCGATTTTTATAATTTCCGTATCATCTAGCTTGTCTTAATAAACTATGTTTCTTGTCTAACTATTACTTTCGCATTAGTATTTTCTTTACCGATTTCCGACGCTTCACATAATTTTCCGCCGCCCCGTTCCGACGCGAATACTCCTCCAGCCGAACCTTTTTTATACGACACGCAAATTTTTCCGACGAGCTAGTCCGAGTATAAAAAGCAGGTAGTTACAAAGGTTATATGCATTTTCTTCGTATTATCAACGGTAACCCCGTAAATGAGGGCTAAGTACATAAATCAACCATTACAGCAACTACTACGCAACATTCACGTGAACTAAATATATATACACTTGTGCCTGAACCTGCGCGACATGCAGTATTCGTGCGTGCCGAATACCACCGAACACACACACACACACACACACACACACGGGCGGGTGCAAGGAGGTGGCCTTCGGCCACCCCCCCGCAACCACACCGTCACAGAGGTCTGCCCCGACAGCACTATCATAGCAACAGTACAATCGTAGAAGTCCTGTGCCCCTGTGCAGGGGGAAGGGGAGGTTAAAGTAACTTCGCGTGGAAAGTTTAACGTTTCTGAACAGGGAAAGGTGTAGAATAGTACTTAATATCATACATGTATTATACAAGCTATGCCGATTATATCAGGTTTAGCCCTCATTTACGGGGTTACCGTTGATAATACAAAGAAAATGCATATAACCTTTTTTGTAGAGAATTTCATGCTCTTGTCATTTTTTGTTTCAAACATTTTTTTGTCAGATTTGTAGTTTTTGAAATAAACGCAAAAAAATGAAAAAAAATAGCTATTTTTATGGGTTTTTCGTGGTTTTCACCATGATAATCGCATTTCCGCCAATTTTCATCATGATATTCGAATTCAGCACATCAAAAAACGTCAGAAAACATATGCGCGCTAAGAATTTCCGGCCCGTCCTTTTCGGAAGTACACCCTTAGAATTTCTTCAAGCCTCAACTATCTGCAGAAAGATGTACGGAATTAGAAAAGCAGAATACGGAACAATGGAGAAAGACAGCAGCAGAAAAGCGGAAAGTACTGTGTTCGTTTAAGAACGCTCGCAGTAAATTTGGATGGCGGGAACACGCTCCGAAGCAGAGAATATCACATAATTAAAATGAAATTTATTATAATTAACATTTGTAAATTGTACATTGAAATTAGCACTTATTGCTCGCATTTATCAAGAACGATATAATCATGAAAGGAGACATCGCTCCAACAGCAATTCAAATTCCGTGGACTAGAGTGAGAAGGAAAATGAGACAGCGGGTCACACTCGAACCGTGTATCGAGCCCCATGAGTTAGAGTAAGACAACGGGCCACGCTCGAACCGTGTATCGAACCCCGTGAGTTAGAGTGAGACAGCGGGCCACGCTCAAACCGTGTATCGAGCCCCGTGAGTTAGAGTGAGACAGCGGGTCACGCTCGAACCGTGTATCGAGCCCCGAAGGCATCGGTGTTGGCCGGACACCGCCTGAGACCATCGTCAGGTGCCTTTATGCGACACGTTATGTGAACGCGAGACGAGGCGTCATGACGCGAGCCCGAAACCGTCATCGGGCTCATCAAATTGTGATATCTCATCGCTCGAGCCGTCTTTGAGCATCTTAGAAAGATTTAGAGAAAGAGAGAAAGAGAGAGAGAGAGAGAGAGAGAGAGAGAGAGAAGGGAACAAGGAGCCGCGTATGGCGAAATGACGAGCGAATAATCTCGTTTGATAATAATTAATCAGAGGCCCATTTCCTCTCTTACCTTTAAATCTGAGATCTCTCGTGAGCTATCTACTTAAATCTGGTAAATAGATGTATTTGTGATGGCTTTTCGTCTTTTCCAAATAGATTTTTACCAAGGAGAAATATGCCGTTATCAAGAAGATCAAGCCATCGTCGTCGCTAACCGATTTGTTATAAAACAAAAACACGTTCAAAAGACGATGCGTCCGTCGCTATGCGCGGTGAGCGCAACCACCCACGCAGCGCGCTCCAGCCGGACCCCGGCCACTTCGCCGATAATAGCGTTCGCCCGAACATACTGCCTACTACCAGCGCGTGTTCTGATTGGCTTCCGCTTTTCCGCTTTCCGCCTAGGTGTGAACCCGTCCTAAGGTGCAAACCCATGCAGCGGAATAGCGGAACGCAGAATGAGAGCGGAACCAATCACGAGCGTTCCGCAGTTTTCATTACGCGGTTTCAAATCCCTTGATCTCCATAGAGCGCAATGAGCGTAAGCGGAGTTATCAGCAAGTTC